CAAACATTTCCGTAAACTTCTTTGATATTTTTTGTGGCTACAGAATTACATGCCGAATGTGTGTCTCGTCGTGTGCCATCACCATAAGGGATTAGAGTATACAAGTTTTACACATTATATAGGCTACACTAACATGACGTTTAGGCGGTTCGTTTAACTCTTATACGTGATGTACGTTTTTTCGGGGTGGTTAATGAAAGCGTTCCAAAATGCGACATTAATTTCTTGACGACCTAATATAAATTAATACTATGAAATCAAGCCACAGGAAAATCATCTGTACAGTTACAAATCACAAATAATAGCAATATCTAAATGAGCAAGGAAAAGCAATGTAAACTTTCAAAAACGGTTTAAAACGTTGTCACATTGATAGTGTGTGTGTACTACATCATATGTAATTCTTCCCACGTCCAATATATTTAAACCTTAACTATTCAATTCTGTCTCTCAAAATTTATGTTTGTGCCCGTAGTTTTACCATTCTCACCACGAAAAAGTAAATGCACCAATACAATCAATCACCTTAATAATCTTAAACATCTCTAATTATTATTTCTTAAAGAAAAAAAAAAAGTTCAGACATCTCAACCTATCCTCATATGACAACCTTTCTATCCCAGGCATCATCGTAGCTGCCCTCCTCTGACCCTTTTCCAATAATTCAATGTCCCTTCTATGGTAAGAAGCATAAGGTTCAACATAGTGTGGCCTAACCAATGACATTATAACCTCTTTTGACTTGTATTTAACCTTTCTTTAGATAAAACCTATTCGCTCTACCACTATCAACAGCACATTGCTTGGACAGCGTAAGAGACTGACAATCTGCCACTAGCAACAGCACATTGCTTGGATAGCGTAAGAGACTGACAATCTGCCACTAGCAACAGCACATTGCTTGGACAGCGTAAGAGACTGACAATCTGCCACTAGCAACAGCACATTGCTTGGATAGCGTAAGAGACTGACAATCTGCCACTATCAACAGCACATTGCTTGGACAGCGTAAGAGACTGACAAACCCAGGACTTTTTCATCCATAAAACTTTTAAGATTATTTGCATCAGAATTATACTCATAATTAAAATTTCAATATCCTACATACATTATATTGCATTAATTATAATTAAAAGTCGTTTGCCATTTATTTATCCAATTCATCAAATAACGTAGGTCTGCGAATTTAAAATCTTCATAAAAAGTTTTGGTTTTAATAAACAGATTTCTAGAATATTAATTTTTTCTATCACGTAAGGATTTCTTACAAATCGGGGGAAAAAACTCTTACTTAGATTATTATTTCGTTTACCGCATTGAAAATTTTTATTATTAAGTTTTTTAACAAAAATACAAACAAACTGAAGAAAAGGGAAGAACATTGATGCATCCTCATTCACTCCGATTTTTTATTTGTGAAGACTACGTCTTTTAGTTTCAAAACTAGTTGTTGTGATCTTTCCCTTATGACGTTTTGTGAAAAATCTGTTCGTAATGGAGAAAATTAATATCATTTTCGGATTCTGCGTACAGAAATTATTGTAGAACACGTATAAACGTCAAGACAATAAAACCACTGCAAGCCTATGTAATCCAATTCATTTTGTACGGCAGTAGCTTTCCCCTCACAGCCAACACCACCTAAAACTTCCAATATCATCAGCTACGGTTATTTTATTTTGTAGGCAAACTTTCTACTTAGTGTTGAAGCATTTTATCAACTGGAGTAAGTTTGGAAAGTAACTTCGAAGGACAAAGGCCTTATAAGTGATTTAGAAAAATGAAAAATATTTTTTATATATTACTTAACAATGCACTAATACTACGAAATCTTATTACAGTTCGTATTTGATAAAAACTAACTGACATTAGTTACGTCAAATCTGTTCATAAGAAAACAATTATATGGATAAACGTCTCTCTTTTTCCAACACCCTCTTTTAATGTCAATAGCTTTTGTCTACTCTTCATCTTTTATCCTTACTTTCTTTCTTCATTATACGTTTCTTTCCTTAAAGTTTTTCAAATCTTTATTCAGCTGAACTTAAAAAAGGATTGTAGCACACAGCCTAAAGTTTGCTTACAAACACGTGGAGTATTCTCATGCACATTTTCTTTTCCCCTAATTGCTTAACCCCAATAAGATTAAGAGAGAAACACACAAACAATGATTGACCTTACAATCTTAACTGCACTGGGAGGGAAAGTTTACAACTCTTGTAAACTAAAGTATTCAGAATATTCAATATTTCTTTTTAACACTAAAGCATTGAGATTTTATCCAAATATCTGCCAAATGGTTGTTATATATTTGCGTTTATAAACAACGTCTTGAGACAATTTCTCTTAGTTTCTAAAACATATTATGAAAGTTTTGGTAATTTCCCAATCTTTGTGTTAAACACAAAAGATGCTTTTTTGTATTTGAAAAATTAAATGTACATTTTAAACTAGTTTTAAGTCACCATCACAGGTAGTTCACTCAACATTTACTAACTCAATTTCTACTTCACTATGAATTTAAAGGAAAAAAAAAGTGTGAAAGTTGACAACCGAGTTTAATGTACTTATAAACAAATTAAAGTACACACATACACAAAAAACATTACTGTAACTAAGTATTAACATAAAACCTTCAATTACTACAAAAAAAAAATGTTCTACAACTGAAAACTAGTGAACAATCAAATTTATTTGTAAACTTAGGGAAGGAAATGGTTCCATGGCTTAAACTTTGTCAAAACCAACATTAATACAGTTTAGTTTGTACTGGTATGAAACAATATATTGTAGTTTAACACCCACTACAACACGAAAATGTTGTTTTACTAAGTCCTTACGAGAAGCACAGATTAATTATTTTATTAAATTGGGAACTTTTAGTTTTTTTTTGTTTTTTTTACACATTTCCTTTTTCTGAACTGGTGCTAATTTTTACTTATTTACAAAATAATTAAATAGATTCTGAACCAATTTAGCTAAGAATGTAATTTTGCTATAAAAGTAAGCTACAAATACATGTACTACTCCAGTGTTTCATAATAATGAAATAGAATGTGAGAAGTAACGAATTTGTATTCATTTCACAACCACCTAAATTTTACATCATGATAATGGAGAAAAAACAAGTTGTGAATACCTGGGTGCAAAGGAGCACGAGCAGTAAAACAATATCCGAGAACTTATTATTTTTTTATTAATGGGTTCAAGGGTATACAGGCCTAATAACCACCTAGCATTCAGCTATGGGTGTTTATTTTATGTAAGGGAGAATTTAAGGCTTTAGGAAACTTGATTTCACAATATTAACAACAGACTGCATGTTTGTTTGATCCACCAAAATAATATTAAAAAAAAAAAAGTCCTCACAAAACAGTAGCAAAGTCTTCTGATTTCCATACATCCTGACTTTGAATGCTTCCCAGTACTTTAATCTATACATGAGGTCAAGGTCTGTCACTAAAACAGGAAGCATAATCACCCATACTTTGGACCTTGTAACGAAACAATAGATCAATAATGCTCGGAAAAATGTAACTGCACGTGTTCAAGCTGTAGCAAGGGAGGGAAAATCTTCTAGATCATCCACTTTGGGGGCAGCTGGCCGAGATGATTTGGTAGCCTTGGGGAGTCCTCTTCCACTGCCAATGCCACCAGCTCCACGCCCACCTCTAATACCACTGCCACGCATACCTCCTCGCCCACGTCCTCTTCCTCGACGTGAATCACTGAAGTTTATTTCTATGTCTACAACATGCTTTTGCCGTCCTCTGCGTGACAACTCATCCTCATCCTAGTAGAAGTTAATAATAATGAAAAAATAAAATAAAAAAATTAGTCATAGCAAATTAATAGGAACTAAAACAGCACGATTTCCCAATGTAAATCAATAAAAATAAATATGAACAAGAAATATAAATCACATAAAACTCTGATCTTGAGATGAATTCAGAAATTATACAGGTATTCAAATGCACATACCAGTGTATCATCGTCAGGCCAGAATAAAAAATAGTTTGTTTGCCCATGCATGAACAACCTGAAAAAAACCCAACCCACATAAAAAAAAATTAGAAAAAATTTACATCTTTTAAAGAGAATTATCTCAAAATTGATTTTTCTAAACTTGTTGCTGGATCAATATTATCAAAGTAAAAAAAAGCCTAAACTTAGAATGAAAGCACTGATTACAAATTTTTCTTTGGAGATCCAAGTTTTTTGTGTCAAGATGAAATTTTAGATAATAAAAAACTAATAAATAAGATTCAAGTAATGCAGCATAAAAAAAAAGTTTAGGTAATCTCACTAGCTCAAATCAGGGCCCAGGAAAGGAAGGTACACTGAGGAAGGGTGGGGGGTTTGAGAGAGATAGAGGATGAGGGCCTTGAATCGGAGGAAGCACCAAGGTCCAGGATCTATCAACAAGTATTATTCATGTTAGTTTTTTTATTTTTTATTAAACATTTGAAATATGGTACTGCTAAACACTAAATACTCGCTGATGCTTGCACAAGTGGCCCAAGTTTACTTACTACTTGCATTTTTTAGAAGAGGAAAAAAACATAGCTTTTACAGTGATCACACATCAATATTGTATTTCTCAAATTCTTTTTTGGCACTGGAGGTTTCCTGAGAAAAATAATTCACATTTTTCAAAATATTTTACATAATGTTGTTTGTAATTTTTTACAATGTTTAGAATTAACTATTCTGAAAATTAGTAAAAAAAAAAAAAAACCAGCAATTTTTTTCTTGCTGTTTAATACGACTAGTCTTTTGACATCAAAGCTGATGAAAAGTGGCTGGCAGGTTTCTCAACTGTGTGTTTTAATAGGGAATGAATTATATTCAGAGAACATTTTAAAATTTAGTTACTCTAGAAAGCCCTCATACATACTGGTTTTTAACCAGGACTACTTTTCAGAGACCTACATCAAGTGTTTGGGGTACCAACCTACCTACCAAACCTTCTTGAATATAGTCAGGCAACGGAAAATAATGTTTTTTAAACGAGGCCTCAGAGATCCTGCAGGTTATAGTATTCTACATATTATCATGACTTTTATATTGTCTGCTAGATGTAAATTTGGGAAGCATGTAACTATATTAATACAGGGTAATTATATATAGTTAGTTTTGCAGTTCAGCCCACCATATCTCACAAATGGTATGACACAAGGAAGTGAAATTGTACAGGGGTGTTAAAGGTATGTATGCAGATGAAATGCCACAGTCATTGTGGAGCCTGCAAAAGAAAATGTTAACATGAAAATCACCTTTCATTCAGAACAGTCAACACTGACTCCATATATTCAACACACAAATTTTTCATAAAAATACTCAATTAAAAATTCTGATTTTATTTGTCTATAAAAGACTTGAAAAATTTTGCGAAGGTACACAAAACAAAGTTATAGTATGGAAACTGATGGTCACATAGTTGGTTTCATCCACTGAGCCAGTACCAAAAGAATTATGTCAACTGAACCATAGTTTTCACAGAACACTGTTGACTTCAAAAAAGCATTCAAGTTTTAAACTTACATAACATTATATGGCTTATTATCACTGTTTGTTTAACAATCTTGTAAACAAAGGATATGATAACTCCTGATCTCTAGGACTTGTACAAAAAAAGTTCTCAAAATAATTACTGCTGAAGTACATTTAAGTTTCCTCTAATACATTAATTCTGGTGTCACTATGTCTTTAAACTAACATCTACAAGTTTTTCTGTAAATAACAATTCCAACATTCAAGGTTGTATTCTTTGAAGTTAAGATCCTGTGGAAGTTTACCTTTCTCCGGTAATATACTGTTTGTGTTTTCATGTGCTGGATTTTTGTTATCACAAGATCATTTAGTACTGTTAGTTAATGACAGAAAAACAATTTATGTAGGATTATTATAGAAAATACAGCAATGCCTATGAAACAAGAAGTCAAACCTATTTTTTCCTATACATGAACTTAACTTAGAATGTGGGCAATAATGTAAGATTTAAAAACTTATTTTTGTAAACATTATTAAAATACAAGCATACTGTAAGATACTTCACAGAAGTAAAATACATATGTGAACACATAAATGCAATACTCAAGAGCACACTGGTATACCATCAAATTTTTCTACTGGATAAAAAGAAAGTTAGTGAACTTGACCAAATGTGAAACTGCAAAACTATACATACTACAACTCTGAATTTACTATCTTCCCCTAAAAATTCTATTCAAATATTTTTAAAGATGAGTTATACCATTTTTTCTCTCTATGCTGCTTGAATTTTTTATCAGAATATCCAAGTTACATATTTTAACACTTTCCTCTGCTAACCTTTTTCCTGACTATCTTATTTAATTTTTTTTGGTTTTATTGCCATATTTGTGCCACTGGTACAATAACTTCCATAAATCACAGTCGGACCCATTAGCTATTTCCCATAAATTTAACATAACAGCAAGTAATCTAGTGTAAATTTAGATGTTTTATTTCACTGAAGTTTGTTAGCCTAAGCTGAGAAATTTATAACTTTTACATTTTAGTCACTTCTGTTAAATATATAATAATAATTAAGAAATATCCACAGAAAACAAGGATATTAGTATTTAATGTGTATTTGCAGTCAAATAAAAAACATCTGACGTCCTCCCCTAAGCCTCATTGAATCTCACAAATATGGATGTCAAAAAAAGTAACTTTCAAATAAGCATTTTAGAATGCAAAGAATACATCAGGCAGTATAACAGATGTTCTAAAACTACTACAATTTATCCAGTTTATCTAGGTAAGCTAACATAGATTTAAAAAATTACATTAGCTCTTCATAGCAGGAAAACCATGATCACAAGACAGTACAATTCTATCAAGAGAATACTCTCCATGCCAAAATAAAAAAGATGGCTGTAGTAGGTAAGCTTGTTGTAAAGGAGATTCTTCTCAGTCTATTGGTTATAAATATGTCCCACATCAGCCATGTAAAGTTAATTAGTAACAACCTCAAAAGTCAGAGAGAAATAGGGGAGGGGCTTCTATGTTGGGTCTAACAAATTTTAGATTTGCATTTACAATTATTTATAGTTGGTGTTTCTGATTGGCTGGAAACTGCAGCAGTTTATTTTAGAAGTTAGAAATTTCTGAAGAGAAAAAATAAGTGCTTAGACACATCA